TATATACAGTCTCTGTACAGGTGTTCAATTAATATTTACTAAACATTTACTGTCAAGGTACAATTAGATCTTGATACAAGGAAGAGCTGCAACACTGAACATGGGCTTGGCATATAGCCCCCAATTTTCAGGTCATAAATAGGCAAAGTACTCATCAACTCTCTCTTTTCAACAGAACACAAAGCCCTTTATTTCCTAAAAAAAGTATAGATGTTTCTTCTCAAGATTGAGTTCTGAATGACAATACTGCAGAAGATCTGCCAAAACATCCCTCCCCTTGTCCAGTTTCACAGAAATATACAGTAAGTTCTGAAGACCACATACTTTCAGCAAAGGAAATGGATGAATGACGCATTTAGGCATGGCAACACCAATAGTCTTTTCCTCTGGAATGCAACCATTATGGTCGTAAGAAAGACTCTTATTTGTCTAAGAGCAGTTAAGAAGTCTATTTTATATAAATACTTAAAAATAAAAACAAGGCACAGAATCACTACTGCTGCAATGCCATCATATCCAAACACTAGCCAGGCAGCCCTGTGAAAGCCCCATGCCTTAACTAAAACCTTCAGTCCCACCTGAACCTCCACTGTTCAGCAGACCCCCCAAAGTGCAAGACCATTCTGCACTCCCTAAAAACCATTTCTTGAAAACATGTGTGAGGTAAATTTGTCTCACCAGAAGTCTTACACAGTGCACTAAAGAGTACAGCTGGAACTGTCTGACAGATTAAGCATTTTAGGGTAAAAATAGAACTTGATTACTTGATGTAGCTCACAGAGTTTGGTTTTATGCGAAAAATCTGATCATTAACCAAGAAACTTAAAAGCGTTATTTTTATTTATTAAGGATATGCAGCATGAGGGAAACACAATGAGAACAAAGCAAGATGATTCTTACTGCACACAATTTCCCCAGAGTTAGTCCTCTTGCTGAAGCAGTTCTTCATTCACTAAATGGAACAACTTAAGGGGACAGCCAGGGGCTCCAATTTAGAGTAAGAGTTCTAATCTGCCTTATGGGAGCAGCTAAAGGACCTATGGAAAAATGTTTGTTTAACAGTAATTTGCCTCAACTATAAATGGAAGCAGAACAGAACTGACATAGTCCCACAATAACAGTTTGTGCTGAACAATAACAGGATACTTGCATTAACAGAATTGTGCTCTACTTAGGAAGCAAAAACAAGTGACTATACCAAACTGAATTGGTACAACCATTTATTTCTGCAAGATGCCCTTCAAATGTCTTGCTGAAGACATCATTAGGGGATATGCTGGACTCTAAAGAGAGGAAGTTTTAATGCCTGAGGAAACACCTGTATATATGAAACTTCAGGCTCGTTTCATGAGGTCATTTTGCTAAGTTGCTTTAGATTAAAGCAACTCTTATATCAGCTTTCCAGTCTGGTGCAATCAGTCTAGATGCAAAATGAACCTTTGGAAATTCACCCTTCAGGAAAAAAAAAGTCTATGGCTATTCTCATCTTGCAAATGGCAATTACAGTGCTTGACTACCTGTCCAACAGGATGCTGACAGTTGCCCAGCAGGTGACTGACTTCAACCCACAGTTTAAGAGTGGAAAAGTCTACAGTAATCTTTCCATTACAAAAAAGTAGCCTAAAATGAAAGTACACCTACTTTTTCTTATTCTATGAATAAATCCCAAGGTAGGGTTAATTCTTCTAAAGAGTATGCTACAACTTCAATGAAGGTAAAGGAGAACAGTCAAAGCCCTCCTCACTTGCCTTGATGACGCAAGACCTAAGGATGGTATCACAAATGACATCTCACAACTCAGCTATGGGGTTTTCTTCCTTCTAAGAATTCTACTTCGAAAAACTCAAAGACTGTTCTAAAGCTGGTATAAGACATGCTTACAACAGGAAGAAAACTTCTAGTAGAGCCCTGTAGTATCCTAGTACCACACAATGTCTATAGTTCTTTTTAGATACCCATTGCTTTGTTTTGGATCCTTGAGTCAGTACTTGTACTAAGAGAAAAAAAATTAAAAAAACAAGCAACCCATGCCAGAAAAAAAGACCAGCAATCAAAACCGAAATAAAACACAGTTATGCAGTGTCTGATAATTGCCAGAAATGTATATGAAACAACCAAGATCACTAAAGAAAAGACTAAGCCACCTTATGACTCACAATGAGCAAAGGTTCTTCCACAAAGTCTCTTTTCATCAACTAAAAAATAAACTTACAAGAATATCTGCGATAATGAGGTGAACATTACTTTATAGAAGTTTGGAAGAAATCTGTCAATCCATAAATAAGAGCAATATCTGTTTATTATCACAAAGTACTAAGAAATAAAATAAATTAAAAGAGTGCCTGAAGGAATCTTCTGAAGTAATCCTTCAAGTGAATAATTAAGAGGGAAGACTCGACTCTTAAGTTTAAACTGACAGTGGTTTATTTGGACTTATATTTCTAAGTTAAAGCAGAATACACAATATCTGAAATGTAATCTATATACAACACAAAAAGGTATATGTTTTTCCTTAGAGATTATTTCATTGAGAATTTAGAAGACAAACTACTTGAAATGAACTAAAATTACACTAAGTCAGGGATAAAACTTCCACTCAGAGACTCAAAAATAAAAAGAAAAGTCTCCTCTTGGGAAAAATAGGAATACTAAGAAAACTCCCAAACATTTTAAGACTTACTGACAAGGCCTCTTCCATATTCTCCTACAGGGAAAAAATGCTGTGCACTGCAACACTAATAAAAACAATCAGTTCTCTAAGACTCGATGTAACTTTTTACCTTCTTGGTAGAAGTCTACTTTCAGATCCAATTCACATGCTTTTAGCAATAAGATCCAACACCACTTCCAGTATTTTCAAGCGGTGTTAGGTACACTGATTTAGTCAACTACACATCTTCCGTGAGTTAACACAGAAGGCACAATGGAAACAGAGTTAAGATAAACACAAGAGAAAAACCTGAAATCAACTTCTTTATGGATAAAACAGTGCTAGAATTAATACCTCTATTAATGCTCCAAAGAGCTTTTGCTGACTCTAAGAAAGAATCAGACTGATTTGCAACTCAGCTACAAACCAGAAATCACACTCAGAGCAGAGCCTAAAACACATATCCACCAACTCGCTCTAGTCAGGTATTAAAATTTATTCTACTAGGCCGGTACATGGTGTTTACATACAATTCAGAAAACAAATCACAAAGCTAAGGTAGATGTCTGACCATGGGCCAGAGTAAACTGACCCCGCAATAGAGACTAGAAGCTTGGCCAAAGGCCATGAGAGAACAGTGGTTCAGAACAGTATAGTTGAGTTCAAAGATCTTTCTTAGCACTTCCAAACTAGGATTCAGAAGTCCTGTGAGAAGACTTGGGCATCCTACTTTGTCACCCTGGAAGGAAGGAAGGTGGTGGTGGGGGGGGGTGTTGGATCTTTGCAAGAAATACTTTAGTAAGACTAAATAAAGGATCAAAGAGGCACAAGCAAACAGGAAAAAACCTGAATAAACTCAGTCTGAAGTTGTTCTCATGGGGAACAGTCGATAAATGCTGTTAATTAAGAATGGGGGGGGAAAAAGCACACACATTTTCCACCACAAAAGACTCTACCCAACAGCCAAAAGAATTCAAGAGCTTGTGTTCTTTCACAGCTTGATAATATTCACATAAAACAACTTTTCCTAATGCATATATTAATGCTAACTGGGGATCCCACAGCTAAGGGAGTTTTAATGATTCATTTACTAATGGAGAGACCAGAATTTGCACATGCTACGAAGGTAAACAAACACATCTGTCAAGCATCTTCTTTCCTCGTGAGCCTCAACTAGCACAATTAATCAAAATCTGATGATTGCTCTGCATAAGGAATGTGTCATTTGTCTGACAGATTGAAGGGGAAGTGGAGAGAAGAAAACCACACTTACACATTTCAACTCCTTCTTTAAAAATGATGACCTGATGTCCACAAACTCAATAATAGCTGACAACAAACATAACAAACAGAATTCAGCATTTTACAAACGCTGAATTGTATAAAATACAGCTGAAACTCTGGCATACTTCAAGAAATATGCACACAGAAGAGTTACACATACGTAAGCCTTTTACTGAACTCGTTTTTAAGATTAGCATTATTGTCATTATGCAAAAGTGAAACTTTCATTTTCTGGACCAAACAGGCCTAGTTCACATGCAATTAAAAATAAAAAAGTGCTTCGTCGGCTTTATGAAAGCTTTAAGTATTTAAATGTTTACAGTTAAATAATGGTAAGATTTTGGAAACTGCAAAGTAATGTTATACAGCTGTCATTTCTAAGCACTCGAGTGAATTCTCTTAGCTGGGCAATTCAGAATTTATACTTCAGTTTGCCCTGGATATTAAACTGAAAACTTTCTTTTCCGATTAACTTATTAAAAAACACTTCATCAGATACTGAAATATGGTTCTTTGGCTGACAAAAAAGCCTAATTATAAAAAAACCCAAACACTGAAGGAAAAAAAATAATTTAAAAAAAAATAATTTATTATTTGTTTTGTCTACAGAATTAAACCCTGGAAGAGCCATTTCCCAAATGGCTCTCTGCTTTTTAAAAAAAATGTTGTTCTTCATGACAATTGAGATAAAGTACTAATCAGCACCAAATGATAAAACTACAGTATTTTAACAGAAAAAAGATTTCTTGTGCTCCTAACAGAGAAACACAGGCACATATACAATAAGCGACCACAAGGATGTGAAGGCTTCAAATTTTGATTTCTCTGCTCAGCAATAACAGCATTCTATTACTCTCCCCTTGGCATATGCCCATAACTCCACTCCACTACCACCCCTTTGGCAAAGCCCCATTTCTTTCTGTCAAGAGACAGTGCTGGAGCAAGAGGAGGAAGGGAAGGACTCACATGCAGCTCACTTATATGCACGCTAGCTTTTCGCTTGCTACCAAATCTTCCCTATCTTTCCAAGGTGCGCCTGCAGTAGGTGTTGTGAACAGCACACTACCAGGTGGAAAATTCCCAGCTTTCCAGAAGGACCAGTGCAAGGAAAACACTCGGCAAGGGTGCTGGCTATCACCACTGGTGGTCCCCCACCGACTTCACAGCCGAGACGCACTGTCCCTGGCCACTCCAAACTCCTCCACTCTTCAGACCCTCCGGATCCGGGGTGGGCAACAGACTCCGGAGAGGTCACCTAGGAACTCTCTGGGGGGCGGGTGCGAACGCTGCCCCCGGGGTGCGTTGCAGGCGCGGGAGCCGCTCGCGCTGCTCTCGCCATACCCAGCTCTCCTCGTGCCCCGCAAGTCCAAGTGCCGGAGTTCCCAGGGCCCCGGCCCGCTGCCGGGCGGCGGGAGCGCGGCGCCGGCCGAGTGGCCCCGCGGCCCACCCGGGCGACAGCTCCTCGCCGCACAGCCCGCCTGGGCCGAGCGGGACCCACCCGCGGCTCCGCGGCTCCCCCAGCCCCGGGGACGGCTGTGCCCCCCTCCTCCGCCGCGGGCCGCTCGCTCCGCCCGGGGGGAGACAATGGGCACGATGACTTCACCCTCCAGCAATGTGCGGACCAGCGGGGGACGCCGCCGACTTCCCCCTGGCCGCCGGGACACCCCCGGGCCGCGGCTCCCGGGCCCTCTCCCACCCGGGCTCGGGCCCCCGCCCAGAGGCGGCTCCGGCTCGGAGCCTCCGCTCCACCCCTCACCCGCCGCCACGCTCAGGGCGGCGGCCGCCGGCAGAGGCCCGAGCCGGGGGACGCCGCCACCGCTGGGCCCCTCGGCGCCGCCCGCCCCGCCGTGCACCCACCCCCGGTACCTGCGAGTCGACGGGAGGAAGGGGCGCCGCTCCGCCCGCCCGAGCCCGGCGCCGCGCAAGAAACGCCTCAGTGTGTGTGTGCCTGTATCTGAGAGTGTGTGAGTGAGAACGGAGGGGGCGGTGCCGCCGGGGCGGGGCGGGGCGGCGCGGGGCCAGGGCCGGGGCCGGGGCCGGGGCCGGGGCTGGGGCTGCCCGTGGAGGGAGGCGGTGCCCAGGCCGTCGGTTTCCGCGACGCGCTGAGCTCAACGCGCACGGCGGTGCCGCCCCTCGCCCGCCCCCGGCGGGGCGGCCCCGGCGGGAGGGAGCGCTGTGGACCCGCTGTGGGGACGGGGCCGCCTCCCCATTGCCCGCTCCGTGCCGAGCCCGGCTCGGTGCGCGGGGCCGGCGTGGCGGGTGCAGTGGCCCTACCGCGGTGGCGGGGGACGCTGCAGTGCCGCCGGCTTCAGCAGCAGCACGGAGTGCAGTGTTGTATATGTTGCAGTGTACAGTTCCGTGGGCTTCACACCCATGAGAATGGAAGAGCGCTAGGCGAGGAGTGAACTGTCGGGGCGTTTCAGTAGAGTTGTGCCGCTGAGCGCTGATTAACTCGCCAAGAAGGCAAAGCCTTGTTTCCGTGCTGTAAGATGCAGACCTTTCTTCTTTTCGCCACCTTGCCATTTGAAACAGAACCCGCCTCAGAATTTGCCCAGAAGCTTTTCCTTCCTGCGTGCCCCTGCCCTGCATGTGGCTGCAGTCTGCCCTGGGCTGCGTCCGGCCGAGCTTTATGGCTCACTTGCCTTGGGTTCGGGTTTTCCGTCTCCTTTTACTACCGACCTTCACGCCGTCTTCCCCGGGATTCCCTCTGTCTGCAACGCTATCGTAGCTACTGCTCTCTCCCACAGCCTGCTCGCTGCCCCTGACCTCCGGTTTTGGCCCGACTTCGAATCTCCTCTGACTAGTTTAAGGAATTATTTGCGTACACTACTACTACATTGGATTTAAGTCGAGTGCTGTCTTTTTTAATTTGTTTATTTTTTCCTAGTTAATCATTCACACTATATCATGTCATCTCGGAATTCTCTGGAACTGGAGTTAATACTGTGCTTATGACTGGTGGTTCTTCCATTAAGCTGGTATGAAACCTGAAAACTTAATCTGGAAAAAAGTTATTAATCACACAACCTGCATATAACATGTGCAAAGATAGTAAAATGAATAAAATGTACCATGCTTTTCCTGCAGGATTTGCAATGTACCATTTGTTAAAGGCTTGCAGGTACGCTTACCTTTATTTATGTGCATAGTTCCATTTAAGTCAATAGGACTACTTCCAGTACATCAAATTAAAAGTAAATACAAGTCATTCCATGGTGAGATACTTAATCTGAAATGACAGAATAGGCAATTACAACAAACAGGGAGGGGAAGTGGAAAATAAGGGTAACAACAATGAGATTATACTGGAATTTTGGCATGTTGCATACAAACCATGCCAGTTCCTTCTGTGCTTGTAGAAGCCAGCAGGTAGGTAAGTTGTTTAGATTCAGATACATCAAACATACATGGCACTTAAGGCATGTAAATGGTACCATTGTATTCAGCTGGGTAAGATATACAGAAATATATTACATAAACCACTTGCAGGGTGAAGTCTTGGCTGCTTTGTTATGTATGGGATTTGATACAGAGAAAGGGAACTAGTTCATAAAATTAAGGGAGAAAAAGGAAAGGGAAGAATCGAGGTGCGTGAAGGAAAGAAATAAACAGAGGAACAGAAAGACTAGCATATAGAATAGCATAGTAGGATAGTGAGCAAATTTTTACTGGAATAGGAACAGCAAACCATTTACCAACTCAGATGTGCAGCTACCAATAAAACAGAAACCAGCAACAAGAAATGCAAAGCAACGCAGTAATGTGTTACTTTCTAAATGTCCAGAGGGATTTAGCAAATTGGTACAAATATTCTGAAATATCTTGGCTAATGCTGGAGAACAGGAGGGAACGGGAGCCCAGGTGTTTTAAAATTCTGCACTGGGAGATTGAGCAGCCACTGTGGTGGTCAGATGGTTTTTCCTTGAAGCTGATGGGGGACAAAGCAAACCTCCAGCCAGCCACCCTCCTGAGAGCTTGGCAGCAGAGGGCCTGCAGCCAAGTAGGTGATTTTCATCAGAAGTATTCAAAATAGTCAATTAAGAAAATACAGAAAGCATGGGGAGGAAAGAGAATCTTTTCAGCACGAGCTGTACACCAAAACTCACAGTAGTTTGTTTTGGTATGTCGAGAAGATATGTTTGTTTGCTTGCTTGCTTGCTTGGTTCTTGTTGTAGAACACAATGACAAAGCGGTATTAAGGAAAAGTAGGGGCTGCTCAAACTCTGTAACAGAGGAAGCACCTCATGCACACTGCTTTTGGTGAGGCATACAAGATTCAAGAAAGCATACAAGCCTGTCTTTCCAAAATACTGTCCTGACTACATCTAGAATTTAAGCTTTCTGGGTATTTAATTCAGCTGCTGGCAGAAAAGTACAAAGTATTATATCAGAATACAAAAATACTGCCCTCCAAACAAAGCGTCTGGTATGTTCTGAGGAGACATAAGCGTGCTGTCAAATGGGGAAGGGCAAAAATCATATCAGCATGAAGAGAGGTGAGCAGACAGGGCTGAGGAAGGAAAGTGCTTTTTCTATCAGTGGTAAGGAATGGAGAAAGGATATCACATGAACAACCTCATCTTAATTTTGTGTATCCTTCTCATAATCTATGTTTGTATGGACTGCTGCCCTCAGTGAAGTTTTAATGTTTACATATGAAACACTGATATTACATAACACCCCACAGGGTTGAGGTGCATCCAGGCTCCGGGTGTGGCAGCAGAAGCCCCAGGAGATACTGCCCCTGCTGCCATGAACTGTCTGTTTGTGTGTGCAAGGGAAGGACTCGTGTGTCTGAAAACCCTTGTGTGACCGAGCAGTGAGCCCCTGCCAGGGCACCACTGACTCTTGGCCAACTGGCCATCCACCAGGACCCCAGAGGCCATTTTCCAGCACTGCTATGCAGCATGTCATTCCCAGTCTGTCCGTGCATCCGGGGTTGCCCCATCCCAGGGACAGAATCTGGCAGAAGCTCACTTCTTCCAAATGGACCCCTGGTGGCCTAGTGGTTAGCATGGAGGACTCTCACTGCTGCGACCCGGGTTCGATTCCTCGGTCCCCCGGGCAGATGGAGCCCGTTAGCCCTGTGAGGCCATCCATCTATGAGAAGGTCACTCTAAACAAACCTACGTCCTGAGGACCTCACTGCCATTGTCCAAGCTTGCTTGGCCCCGGCAGATGAACCTTAGGATTAAAGGGTGGGCTCAGTTCAGCGCAGGCTGTGTCTCACCTAAAAAATCCATTGCGCAGGCTGGGAAGGTAAAAGACCTTTCCCCAAATCTTCGTTCGCGAACACTGGCCATTATTATTATTACATATGAAACACTCCTATCTCATATGGTACTGTAAAATCCAGTGCCTTGGACCAGAATTTAATGTGTTGGTGGTCTTTTGTATGAAGTTACTGTGGAAGAGTATCAAATATGATGGGTAAATGTCTCCATGTCTCTGATCCCACATCTGAGTCTTCCTTAGGAATCTTTATCTGAGTATTCAACCATCATCTTCAACAAAAATTGACAAATCCGAACTTTATTTTTGTATAGGTAATTTTATATTTCCTGCAGCCTCTGTCATCATCTGGTCTCCAGGCCATCATTTTTAGGAGAAAAACTTATCCCCAACTTTCCCCTTTTGACACATACATTTGTGTCCTTGACCTTTCTTTCATCTTGTTCTGAAGAACACTCTTTGTTGGGGGATTCACCACTCTCCTACATTTTCCAGCTCAGCTGTCTCACTGATTTATTTTTTTCCTGGAGAGTTTATTTTTAGCACCCCTGATTTTAGTGATCTGTCTTACAGTGTTGCCCCACAGATGGCTGCATTTGCACAAAAAGCATAGCAGAAGATTGATGTGGCAGCAGAAAAAAGTTGCATAGGGAAGGAAGAGAACTGTCTAGATCAATTTTGCTGCTGGAGAAAATGTAGTATGGAGATGCATTCTGACTTACAACTAAAGAAAAAAGGATAAAAGCCTTTAATGAATTAAAATATCTGCAATACCCATTGATAGCAAAACATTCTTTAGATTGGGCATACAAAAATAGGCAATACTAATAAATATCACTACATAGCTGATAAATATTATATATTAATATAGCTAAGAGACAAATTGCATGGGACAGGAATAAGTGTTGAATACTGTCAGGTTTCTGTTTACCTGTTGTGAAAGATTATTTGCTATGCACTGATTGCCATCAATTGTGTTGAGTGCAGTAGATAAAAAAAAATAATACAGGTGCACCATGATGACAAGGCTAGGATAATGGATTAGTGTCAAATAGAGCTATCTAATGTAGATGCAGTCTCACTGATCCAAGTTACAAAGTGGAAAGGTACCAGTAAACAACGTGCAAGCTGAAAACTTTCCAAATTTTTTGGCATGTCATAAAACATTAAAGGTGAAGGCTTCCATAGCCATTTCAAGCATCTCAGATATCTTTGAGTTACATCATCTGATCTAATCAGTTTCTGTAGTAGTCAATAAAGAAAAAGCAAAGATAGAAAATTTACAATATATGGAACTACAGTCCCCAGAACATACCTACTACATGAAAGAAAACCATTTTAAATAAATTAAATAGTGTTATTTTCAGCCCCAATGACAGAGAATAGAAATAGTTTGAGAAATGTGGGTGCCTGAATCCAAAAATGTTGCTCCTGAGCGTATATCAGATGTCACTCAATTTATAAGTCTCCAAAAGTCTGAGAAAGACTGCTATATTAGCTTAACATTTCTTGAATGCCTGAAACTCTACTCCTAAATGTAATATTTACATTCTGGAGTTGAGGAGTTGCAGGATGCAGGAGTGATACCTGTGTATTTTCTTGAAATTAGGTGTCCTGACTTTTTTAAAGTCTGTTGGTTATCGCTGTCAGTATCCTTAGGGAAACTTCAATTTGTTAGAAAAATAAATGAAAATCAACTAAGAGTTATACTGTGAAAAGAAGCAGATTATAATTTCTGTTGCACAACACTGTCTCCATTCTAGTCCCCTGAACTTTCCTCCTCTGTTAGTCAGAACAGTCTGAAACTTCTGTTTTTCTGGGTTGAGAAGTTATATGCTTATTCTCTGCCCAAAGGTGAAATTGTTTCTGGAAAGCTTGAGCAAGAATGTTTTTGCTCATTTTAAGTGTGAGAACAGTGGGGTAGGGGGAAATGTTGCATAAAGGTAAAAGTGCTTGAGGGTGTTCTAAATAACTTTTTCATCATGATGAGGAGATGTGAAGAGATTAAAGTCATGATGGAAATAACTATGCTTCAGAAAGACCTATACTTTTTCTAAAGTTGGTCTCAAATCATTCAGAGGGTTCCTCAAGCAGCATATACAGTCCATCTTCAGCAGAGCCAGAGAGCATTTAGATTTGCCCTTCCCTGCTCTCTGGCTCTGCAGGGTAGGACTTGGCTGCAAGGACCTGTCCCCATCACCCTGCCCTAAGCCAGACAGCTGGAGGACACCAGGACAGCCCCAGCCCTGGACAGTCCCAGCCCTGGGTATCAGGTACCTGCCTAGGGACTGGCTGAGGCCAGGCTGGGACATGAGTCCACAGGTGTGCCTGGCTCGGTGGGACCCATCACTGGGGCAGGGGCTGATGGCTCCAGGCGTTTGAAATGGTGTCCTGGGCCGTGAGCAGGGATCTCACATCCTTATGGAGAGACTCCATGTGGCTTTGTCATGGTAACTTCAAGAGGAGCTCACTGAAGCAGAGCTCTGGCAGGAGCATTGCTGTGTGCAGTCACATTGGAGGTGGAAAAGGACAGAGTCGGGGAGGAGTGGTTGCCTTTAGCCCCTGCATAGAGGGCACATGATTTCTGATGCAATGGCTAAGGCTGTGGGAGCCAACAGCAAGCAGCAATAGGACACAGAACCTCTGTGCAGGGAGAGCTTTCCAGAAGTGCATCAACCCTCCTGGCTTCACTGGGGTAAACAGGCCCTTTGTAGGGAAGAGTCACTTGGTCTGCATGGGGAGCTGCAAACACAGCTCTGCCAGGTTGTCTGGCAATTCCCTCTTGTAATAAAATATCCTGCAGCCACTGCCAAGGGCTGGTAACAGCAATTTCCATGATCAGGAGCACCCAACTCCAATAATCTCTCAAACACTTCCCAAGACTTCAAGCCCATTTTGTGGCACAGAAAGGGTGGTGACTGCAGTGCCATGAGTTTACCCAGGAACGGTATATAATTAAATCTTTGACAGAGAGCTCTAAATAGTTTTGATTCATTCAGTAGGCAGCATATCAGGACATGCCTAGATGGGCCATGATGCAACGTGACTGGAAGATAACTGCTGGTCTCAAACGTCCCTTCCAAGTGCAAGAGAAGCATCTGAAGCAGCCAAAGGTTTTCAGTCTAGCCACCACTCAGGCTACAGAGAAGAACTGTCAATAAAGACCATTGAGGTACTGCCCCAAACCTTTGACAGAGTTTAGCTTCTGTCTACCAAGCTCCTTCATTGTGCTGTTTAAGCTGGTGCTCACAGAAATACACTTTTATCTAGGGCTTACCCCTAGTTCCTGATACCTCTTGCAGATATTTGGGCAGTTGGCTTCAGAGAACGGCTCCCGATTCTGCTCCCAGTAATGCTCCCAGAATGCAATCTGCAAGGGGTTGAGGCAAGACCCTGGATCCATACACAAGGTTACTGTGCTGGCCCTGAGGATACAGATATCTTCAGGAGCCATGTGCCAATGAGGACCTCAAGGACATCACAGCAGAGGAATGGCAAAAGGGCTGTCTCCAGCGGTACTTTCATCAGATGCAGATCCAGCCCTGATGAGAATCTTTTCTCCTATATGTACAAGAAAGGGAACTGAACTGGCAAATGAAGCAGTGAAACAGGTCTCCCAGGGAAGCGATGGAGTCACCATCCTGGAACATGGTTTAGTGGTGGAATTGGCAATTCTAGGTTCACAGCTGGACTCAGTGATCTTAGAGGTCTTTTCCAACCTAAATGATTCTATGATTCTATGATTCTCTTATCTATGAAGTGTTTGGGCTGAGACTTCAAGGGCAGACCCTGTGAGCTTCAGGCCTGGAGAGAGAGGAAGGGAGAACTTCCCACGAACTTCTTCCTTCTAGGTTCCATAGCAGTTAGCCTGCACACTTAGGGGGCTTATGAGGGGTGAGAAGGCCACAGGAGCTTTGTGCGAGTCCTCTCTTCTTTTAGTTTGCTTGAAAACCAACTTGCTTCATGGGTAAAGGGGCATTTTGAATAGCTTTTTCAACCTTTTAATATTTGTTTTGGAATCTGAAGTACTTCTCTTTACTTTCCAGCTCCTCTCTATATTCTTGAAGCCTTTGAGAGCTCAATTTCCTGTCTGCACAGAGATGAACCAGCCACCTTTACTTGGTGAAAGAACTGATGGGTTCTGGACCTATGAAAGGCAAGAAGTGAATCCACTGGGTTTATTGGTAAGGTCTAGGGTTTTTGATATCCGTTAGCCGTTTAACTACATAGTTGGCAGAACATTCCTGGGAATATCTCAGATTGGCTACACACCATGGTAACTGGGAGAGGATCAGCTCTGTGCTAATTGTTGAGAATGGGCAATGGGTCTTTATCCATGACACCTTCCAACCCTCTGGATTGCCAACAACCTTCTGGATTATCTATGGGATGCTCCTCTGAACCACATCTTGCAGAGTCTTGTCCAGTTCAGTCTTTTTATTATGCTTAAAAACATAGGACTAGAGAACATATTAAGCAGTTGGTACACAGGGGACTTTATGTGCATTTGCATTAATGGCAAAGTGAGGAAAATGCTGTAACATGTTTCCTTCTCCCTGCTATCCAACAAGGCCCCCAGGAGCTGGTCCTCCATCCAGCTTCACCTTTGCCATGCTTCAAGTGGAGTGCTTCGGCTCTTGGGTGGTGTGCTGACTGTGCCTGTCCTTCTCAAGAAGAAAACAGAACTGATTTAAAATATATTTAACATATGTTTGAGGCCAGAGTTGTTAATTTCTAGAACCAAGTGTTTTGAGTTAGCCTTTTACTTTTTTTTTTCCCATGCTAGAATTTACCTACTGTACCAAAGTAATCAAGTCAGGAATCAGAGGATTTGGCTTCTCTGAGGACTGTGTCTGCCTCAAATTCTGCAGAAGATACTGTGTGTGTTAGTGTTGCTTCTTTTTTTTCTTTTCCCTTGGCTTGTCTTCACAGGGTTTCTTTCCCTTGATTCCTTTCTATTTTTGCATTAGATCAGCGAAACACATGACACCTAAGACTTCACTCACTGTGCCCCCTGCTCCACCCCCTGCCCTCAATTCTGTCCAAGATATACGGACAGAGATTTCCTCTCACCCCAAGGGTAATGAGTCACAAAGTCTGGATGATTAGAAGGAAGGGTTAGGGTTTCACCTGCCTTTTGGGAGATCATTTTCTCCCTCAAATACCATTCCTAATCCTACACTCACTGCAGATTGCACTGTATCACAAGACTGGCAGAATTGAGTCCTCTCTGGAGACTACAGTGCTATGCGTTGCTTTATGGAAGGTGTTTCTGCACCACATGTATCCCTAAAGGGTTGGAACTGACACTTGACATTGAAACTTGTTTAATTTTTTTTTGTTTCAAGTTTCGATAAAGTTTAACCACTGAGATAATCCAGGTTTCTGTTTGAAGCAACAAAAGGGCAGCCATACTGCTCAGTGAGCAGGCTCTCTGATGTTGTGGGGTTTATCTGTAGTGCAGGCTATGTAGATACATTTGGGCTAGCTCTACATGGGTTCAGCTGGCTGTGCAAGCACAGAGCCCAGTGAGGAGCAACAGATCACCAGCCTTCCAGGCTGTGAATTGCTCTGTGCTGTTGCAGCATTACTGCTGACACTGAGTTCGTTGAGATCTTGAGATCCTACTCTTGCCACTGCTGCTTGATTTTTTTGTCCTTCGCTTCCCTAGGGATTGCTGTGATTATGAGATTTGGTATAAAATTATTCTCTGCAACAGTAACTAGCAACACACATCTCTGCTTATGTGAAGGTCTTTCTGCAATGTCAGGAGTGTGTGTTTCAAGCTTTAGGTCATCCCAGTTCACCACCTAATTACCTGTCAGGTCTGGGCCATGCAATATAGAATC